ATGGGGGAAGATGACGCCGGACAAGACGACATGGGAAGGATGGAATACATCAGAGCATTAGAGCTGACGGAACAATGGAGCCGTCAGCTCTAATGCTCTGATGCTTCCCGTGTCCGCAAGACATTAGAGGAAAGTGGTTTTCGCTATGTCTGACATTCATTCATTATTGCCCTCCCCTGTCCCCTCGGCTTCGGGCCAGCGGCACTTTCACATGAGGTCCCATACTGAGTTAAGCATAGGCAGGGGTCATAGTGGCTGTTGCCATGGCAACGGGGTCTGACCGTGAATGACTGGTACATTTCAAGTGAGTTAACGTCAGTACCTGGCATACCAAGCAAATTTGGTCGAAAATAAACGGTTGCCAATTCCATGCCGATGCCCGTTCCTATAGGATTTATCTCTCACACACAGGGAGCCCCTTTCAGTCAGCGCTCTGAGTGAGCGATTTTTCCTCTGTGAGAGAGAGAAACTCTGTCTGTGAGAGCGATTTCTACTTCAAGTTTTGGAAGATAAGCACATGCTCTGTTTAACAATACATCCGATATTAAGTCCGGCACACACACATGAAGAATTGGTCTTCCACATAGGCCCGACAAAAAGGTTGCCCAATTGCGATAACTTTCAGCCGCTGGTAAGCAAGTGGAAGACCATTTTTTCTGTGTGAGGGAGTAAATTGTCTATGGGAGTAATAGAGAAGATAGAACTTAGTCTAGTTCTTCGATCGACCTATCAGATTTGGGTCACTCTCAGGACATGATTTAAAATTACATATCTCGTTAATGATCTCACTAGAATCCTAGTATTAGATGTTTTGTTTATCACATCCATCCGATAGTAAACCCGAACGCAAACTCACACGTTTTTACATGAAAAAAAAAACAACACACTGTCAGTGTTTATTCACTCTCCTTCGTTTACTTTTGAAAGGCCCATTGAGAGCCTCAACTGAATAACATTACAACTGACAGAAATCCTAAAAGATGTTTGTATGCACTATGGGCGCGAAGCGTGTAAGAGTCATGTAAAAGTCATGTAAAACGAAAAAAAAAGCAAAACTGCGCTAAGAAGGTTTGACGGTCTGGATGCCAAACCCATAGCCTGGATGCCAGCCCATATAGCAAACTAGGCCCAAAGTTATCTGGATGGCAGGCCTTACTTTGAAAAAACAGTTTTCATGACAAACAGCCGACTGACTTCGAGCTAAATGGAGCGGCTGGGAATCCACATTTGCTGGTTGTTACCCCTTGTTGTTTATTTATCTAATTTTGTCGTCTTCATTTTTTTTCTCGGTGTTCTGTTGTTTGTGGAAGGCATCTTAACAAAAAACTTCATTTTTTTTTCTGAGGAAGTGGGTCTAATAAGTTCCCAAAATTAATGTTAAATCCACATTTGCGATGTGGACTCCAGTTACGGTGGAGAACTATCAAAGCTCTAAGGTCATCTAAAAAAAAACTGTGTTTCCCAAGATGTAAATTATAGCTATTTTTACGCTTTGATGTCATTGTGGCGCCTACTCATTCATCTAATTTCACGGTAGGGAGATACTGTGGTGAGATAACATGACCGGGGAATATGGTAGTGGAACAGGTACCGAAAACTGTATTGCTAGGTTTACACATCGATCCAACTCTATCTTTGAAGTTACATATCAATCATCTCACTGCAAAATTAGCTGGAAATCTTGCATATGTTAGATGTTATGCTAGTTTCATGTCAGACGACATTTGCAAACTTGTTACCCAATCTTTGGTTCTGTCTTGTATCATGTATTGTGCACCAATTCTTGATGGATTGTCAGAAACATGTGTCAGAAAGATCCAAGTGTTACAGAACAAGGCTTGTAGGTTAGTTTTGAAGTGTTCATACGAGACACCCATCGCACAGATGCACGCAGATTTAGGTTGGCTATTGGTAAGATCTAGAGACAAGCTGTGTGTAAGCACATTGAAATTATTTGCTATAGAAGAACCAAAGGATATCAGTACTTCCATTGTACCTGTTCAGAAACGTCATGGTTATTCAACAAGACAGTCAATGAATGACTTTTGTTTACCAAAACCCAGAACTAATAGTGGGAAAAGGATGTTTGTCTACAGATGTAAAGTCCATCTCCCATGTCAAATACTTTACCAACAGGGTGGTGCAATTCATAAAAGTCAGACAGCTATCTTCAAGGTAGAATTCATGTTTTTTTAATGATTGCCATGTAAATAGTTAAGGTTTTTTATGCGATGTGTAATCCCCTCTGTTTTTTAAATGATTCATGCTGTAAGTTAAGTGTAAATATGTTGTAAGTTAAGTGTAAATATGTAGGATTGTGTCTGTAATTGTGATGTTACATGTATTTGTATTGGAACCCTGGAAGAATAGCCCATAATGGGCTAAAGGGTATCTCAATAAACTGAAAACTGAACTGAACTGAAACTGGTCTCCAGATGTTCCCGGCGAGTCTTATCTGCCCTATCGAAGCAGATCATATGTTACAGGTCAGGGGCCCACTCTAGCGAATGGATACTTCCTGGCCAATTTCATACTCCATTTGGCCACCCATGGACGCTGAAATGCTAGTCCGGTCTTCGTGCACTGCCCTCTAGAGACGATTGTTTGATTGGAAAAACAGTCACAGACAAATCAATCAAATGACTCTGACAGGTTTCGTGCCCATACACACATTTTTATGATTTCTTGACGATATGTAACAGCCCTGAACTGTCAGTCTGTGATTTACAACGATTCGAAATGAAAACACACGGGAAAACCAGTTTTGGATTATTATTGTCTTTCCCAGCCAGTGTACTGCTGGTCGTAATACCGTAGGTTGGACAACATTCCATTGTAATCATAAATCACTGTTTTCTTCTCACAGAAATCAACGGAGGAGCTCTCTGTATATTTGATTGAAAGTGCTGATATTAATTGGTAACAGTGATGATGCGTCCAGAAAGCAGTAACTGTTACAGATCATATTACATCACCCATGGGTTTGGAGAGAAAAAAAATTCATTGCAAAAGACAAACCCCGATAAAAAGCCAATTAAACACGCTAAAATACCCCCAAAGCAAAAACCTCAGCTCGGAGAGTACCTAGTTTCACCCTCTGTGCAATCTTTTATCGAACTATCTAGACTAATCGGGCAAAATCGGGCGAAATGGGGGGAAAGGGGGGAATCGGCATACTTTGCAGGCTGCTAAAATAGTAGAATTCGGCCCAAAAAGAGATACAATTCGCCAGGGGAAACATATCAATGTAGACCGAGAAGACTAAGAAGACCGTGAACTTGATCCATAGAATGTGAACAAAGTTTCTCGTGATGCTGACATGGTGAACAGGGAACAGGCAGGGGCTGGGGATTTGTATCTTCTAAATCCTTCCACGACATTTCGGATGATGATTTCCCATTTTTTTACGATCTTGATAGAGACTGGACAGACTGCCTTCTACGGTGAGCCGAACCTGGTCGTCTGGTCTTGGAAGGGGAGGGGATACAGGACAACAGCATACTGTCATGACACATCAGGATCTGCTTAGAGATGTATCAGGAATATGTGCCGCTCGTCATGGTAAATGCATAGATAACATCACCACGTGCTTTTGTAGAGTGACGGCTAATTTGTCACCAGCTCAGGACAGCGCAGAAATTCAGAGACATATGCAAGGGAGGTGCTTGCTACATGACATGACAAATTACACAGCAAATTGGCGTCTAGGTAACGCCCCTTTCTCAGAAGGGACTGCGGGCAAGAAACGTGTCACTAGCACTGTCCAGTGCGGTCTCGAGCGCCGCGATTTACTTTTACCTGTAGGTGTCTCGCTCCAAGTACGCGCAGGATTTTCAACTCAGCGCTTGATCCGGTGAGAATGTCGTCGTCTGGTAAGTTTGCTTTCACTTATTCTTACAAATGTAAAGATAGTCAAACTCGCCAACTATTTGCTTTTGATAAGGGCATCTCTAGATTTGTATTAACCTGGTTCCAGGCGCAGCACCCCGGGCCCATGGGTGAAACCAGCTCCCATGTTAGATTTGCCTTGACGAAATAATGCGAATTATTCCTCTCACAAGATACCATCGGGTCGTTACCTTTTTTTCGGAAAATACTTACTGATTGTACTTTTCGGGTCTCTCTCACCAAGTAAACTAACTAGAAGTGTGATTTAGCGGTCGGAGGAACTGTCGGTAGGTACCTGGAGGTGCAGACAAAATTTTTTTACGGGGTCCGGATACATTCTCCTAGTGAAAATTTAAATTTCAAACAATAATAATAATAATTTGAGTAGCCTGGGTGACAGACTTTGGCGTTTAATAAGCGATAGATTTTTTTAGGGGGGGGGGCTTTTCGGTTGACCGACAAATATACGATAGCGAGGAGATAATTAGAGCCAGGGACCAGGGTGTTTCTCTATTAACTTGGCATCCAGTCGACCGTGGTTGGAGCAGATTGCCTTTGGGGCGGCAGGAGCTTTCTCCCGCCGGGCTCTACCCAGGCTAGTCAACCATGGCTAGGAGTCGGCTGGGTCGGCTGGCGTTCGGCGAATTCGGTTACGGTTCCGCTGCGCCAGCCGAAATATGTTTCAAAATGTTAAAAACATTCATGAGTCATTCTGACGTTTCATTGTTGGCTGGCTTTCGAGCGTAAGTCAGCAAAACACCAACCAACCATATGGGAGAAAGTCAGAATTGTTCGGGGCATGTGCAAGGATTAAATTTGACTTTTTAACTCCAATTCGTGGTCTGGTCAGTGTTGACGAAAGCTAGCCGAGCCTGGTCGGCTGGCGTTCGGGAACAGATTCGGGGATGGTCGTGAATGCGTCAGAAAGTGTATATGTCTGTGGCAATACCTATTCTACACACAGGTCAATCTTCAAGCTAAAATCATACACTCGACACATATAATGGAATATTTATCATTCAAATTAGATTGTAGGAATTTTATAATTGTTTAAACAACCTCTTCCGTTACATTTGTATTTTGCACAATAACTAAAAAGGCTCTGTCGTCTTTGTATTTCTTCGGCCTCATTTCCCTGATTTGCAACAATCGGACAGCAAGTATCTTTCTTTGATTTTACAGAAAGACTTCAGAGCGCATTATCGGCGATTCGTCACCCACGTCCCGCCCAGAGTCAGACTGCGGCCAAGAAACCAAGACTGAAGAAACTTGACTGCGTCCTGGACTGCTTCATTCTAGAAGATGACGGTATCACAAGGAGCTATGTGTCCCTCAAGTCAGGTAAACTGTCTTTTGGTTGATAGACTTACTTTATTTTGGTTGATAGCTTAAGCTTGTGGCCAAATCTCTTTATATCAATTGTCATTGTCATCAATGTAACAACACTTTTAACAATGAAAATCTACTTTTTGAAATTCATTCAGTAACCCATGTAAAAGGGAAGCAGGTCGAACAAAATTTCCATGACCTCATGCCTTTGCCAAATGATCTTAAACCTTCTGGTGGACGAATTATACATTTCTTTTATCCGCGAAGGAGGTCATGACCTCCGGACGGATCGAGTCTTAAAACGAAGCCTAAACAGTTGCTGTACTCGCGATACGTTTGATGGGTGGGGACATACTAGTACTTTGGTACGTCATTTGCTAGTATGGTCTAGTTGATGCACGTTGTTACTCTGTGAAGGTCATCCTCCTGGGATGGGGTTTTGTGCGCGTGAAAAATTTGCGCGCGCGTGAAAAATCTGCGCGTGAAAATATGCAAATTAGGCGATTCCCAGGGGGTCTTGGAAATTTTACATTTATTCGGGAATCTTAATTCTATCTTTTAAAAGGGACTTGTTCAAATGTGAAGTTTTCACGCGCAAAAAAGGTTAAAATTTGCGCGTGGAGA